CTCCAGCTCTGAGTGTCTATTGAACTGACACTCAATACCCCCGACCCCTTGCATGTAATCTATGCAGAGGGGAACCCTGTTTCTGTCGTTCACCTTGGAGACCAGGCATGTCCTAAGCCCTTCCCAAAGCCGTCTGTTGCTTCGTGTGTGAGGGACATGGCTGCCTCTGAACAGGTGTCCAGTTTTTTAGACAAGAGCATTGTACGCCATTCTTTTCTTTTCAGTCTCTGTGGAGCGGAAAGTCCTGAAAATGATGACAGCAGAAATAAATGACAGATGCATGCTGATTGTGGTTTAATCTTTGTCATCTTTGATTGACACTTTGTAGAAGTGTGACAAAAGCTCTGGTTTCAGGCCATCGTGAACTGAAATGACTGTGTGTGACTGTTACTTGTTATGGTTTGTTGGAGCAGTTCAGTTAGCATATATTCTTATTATCAGTTGAATTATTTGATATTTTCTCAATGAATAATAATTTCTTGAGTCAAAAACAGAATTCGTTTTCATTTCTGATGCAAAGAGGATAACAGATATATTTGGAGAAAGGATTTGAATCCTAACACAATACTGTTAAAGAATAATTCATGATGGATTATAAATATCTTTGTCATAAAGAAGACAAAGATGTCATAAAGAGTATATGGATCAGAGAGAATAAAAGGACTAAAGTCAAAACTGCAGAATCATTCAAACCAACTCAATTCTATATTTAATTTGAGTATATTAGGACTACAAGCAAATTTGTGGAAGCACAAATTTAAATAAATAAGTAGAAAATCAACGATGTTTGTCATGGTTTCTTGGATAATGTGTACAAGAATGAACACTCCCGGCTGAAAAATGTATTAAAAAAAAAGGCAAGCATTAGTTCTCAAGACATTTAGTAAAATTTCACAAAAAAGGATATCACATAATTTTACTAATGAACAATATGATGTGAAAGATTTTTGAGACATCTAATTATTGGAAATTGGGGTAAAAATCTGTTTTGCGCCATCGGTCAAATTTTAGGGATACTGTTTGGTTGTTTTCTTTACTGACAAATGCAACAAAGGAATCAGGAGCTGGAACCAGGACTGTTGCAACTGAAAATGAATGCACTATACAAATGAATTATTTACAGTATGTCATAGTGCTGTAGGGTGATGACATATAAGGTGGAAAAACATTGTACAAGTAAAGTGCCCTGCAAATAGTTTTGACTGCCCTGTCCTGCTGGAGTGACGAATTCCAAATATGAAATACATTCTAACTAGAAAAACTGCCACAATTTATAGGTCCTTTGTCTCAGTCCCTGACCAACTGAAAGCATTTTGTGCTTAATGACGTACGAAATATGATAATGAAAAACAACACCTATTGAGCAAAAATCCAGAAACTGGTCTCCTGAGCTTTCAGACAGGTTATGGTTAACAGAAGGAAGGCTGGTGATAACCTGCTTTCTTCCCACATTCTTCCCACATTTTAGACATGTTGCTGGCATCCAAGTCAAGATCATATTTTTTACAAAATAAGGGGGAAAAAAGCTTTTTTTAGAGGCTTTCAGTGTTCTATTATGAGTGATGCATCATTTAGTGAGATGGTGAGTTGTTACATTTTCCGTGACAATCCAGATTTTTCTAAATGGGTCAGTGTTTAAGGGTGGTACACAGGAGTGGACTTGGCAGCCGTCTCAGAGTGTAGAGTCATTGTGACTAAATTTATGTTGTTTTTCTTTGGACATGCTATATTTACACGTATATGACAATCACTGTAAAATGTGTTGGACTTCACTCCACTAACATTCCATCTGACTGAGTCTTATGAGAGTCAAAGCTATAAAAATATAACTCAAATTTCAGCAAGCTATAGTACTCCTTTGGTGATGTTTGTTCAAAAATTGATGCATTTCATTTAGCCAACTTTAGTCTGAAAGCATTCCTTTTGATGGACATTCGCTTTTGAGTCAGTCATTTTATTTCACAAAGTCGTGCTCAGTTTATTTAACAAAAATATGAAAACAAGCAGTGACTTAGAAATGAGGATGAAATGTGATTTTCAGCATTCAGTCCGACAGAGCAAAGACCAAGGTTACAACGTTCCCATCAGAGGAGGGATGAAGATGAGCTGGTCCTGTCGCCCCTGGTCTTAGTGCCTTTAGGCAGCCTGGTGCTGCGGTCCGCACTTTGCTAATTCTCTGTTCTGAGGTAGCGGGTCTAATTTAGAACAGAGGGGCTCTGTTCCTCCTGGAACGCTGCTGCTTGGCATTCTGGAAATGAAGAGTTCAGAGGCTCACCACCCTCGTACAGACACAGAGCACATGCCTTGTTATCAACCCACAGAGATGCACATAATGATCCCTTCAACCATTAACTCCTAATGCAATAAAGCGCTAGCATTTTAGCCATGCTTTTCAGTGCCTAAACATAATGAAATTAGCCCACGGGCAGCACAAATGTGCTCTGTGATAACATGTGTTCAGGGTTCATCAATCAAGCTTACGCTCATGATCACTTGGCCTTAAATCTCCAGCTAACTGCAAGTCAAAGATGCTACAGTTTTTGTTTATCTTCAGTCAACCCTTGGGCTTTGTTTGACATTTCTATGGAATTTGCATGGAGATGAGCTCTTACTGATAGTTTCCGAATTGATTCAACCAGCATTACTTTTAACAAAGAAGAGCTAATTTCCTTTAATACAGCAAAATAACACAGCAGATGTAGAGCGACCTTATTTTGATATGTTGTTATGTGCTGTGACTATGGTTGGTACCTAATACTCAGAAAATGTCAAGCTCTGGCATTTGAGATAGAATATATGTAGATTGATAGATTAGATAGATGATTGTGGTCCTGTGTACATAATACAACAGTAAATATGCACAGAATAATTAAGAAAAACACAGCTTTGTTATTATTGAATATGACCCGTTCACATATCTCAGCAGAAAATATGTAAATTTCTTTATAAAAGAGGGTTAACTGATGCACACATACACACACAAACATCTGTCAACATTGTGAGGATTGCAGCAGAAGGTTGGTATACAGTAATACCGTGGGATGGTTGGAATGTATTTGGCAAACAAGTGGCCTTGATGAGTCAGAGAGGAGGCAATCATTTGTGAACTTATTGTTACTGGATATGAATGGCTCATGTAATTTATAATGCCAGCTCAGAACTTATTGAAACATTAGAAAAGTGTCATTAAAATCAATGTAGAAAGGAAACTGTATCAGTTTGCTGTGCAATTAGTGTACCAGCAATAGGGAAATCAATTGTCGCAATGTTAGCTGTGGAGCTCTGGGGAGGAAAAATATCAGTTGTTCACTCACTCCATTTTCACGTTCCAAATAATCTCTGAGCTAAGGATTTTGGCCAAATTATAAAATCAAGCATGCCCAATTGCCACCAGAAATATTAGCAGTTTAAGATTCATTTGATGTCTTCTGTTTGTACGTAGCAAATACACTTTTTGGTAGTGTGTTTTCAGAAAGTCTTCAGCCAGGAGTGTAGTAAATCAGCACTTCTTCCACGATTTTGCTTTTTCCAGCTTTCTATCTAGTTTGAATATTGAATACTCTAATGGCAAATACTGAAAAATGTGTTTCATTAGGTTCGGAATAGGAGTTCCCACGTGACTTCAGTGTGAGTCGACAGTTTATTTTATTACGTTCAGTCTTTTGGTTCTCCGTGTATGCCATGTTCTGCTTGCTGTTTCCACTTGTTTATCCTTCTACTTTTAACCTCCCCTGTCCATGCCGCCCAATATAGCAAATATAAATCAAGAGAAAACATGAGTGATTCCATGAACTAATTATACACGCTAAACTGAGATTGTGAGCAACCAGGTGACTCCCACATAAATCATAATACTGTGTGTCACATAGCTGACATGCACAAAGCCTCTGCCCCATCGTCATTCAGGGATCAGTACAGAAGCTTCTCATTTGCTGTCTGTGTATAAATTCTACCCTACCTCTCCATCAAAGCCCATCAACCTTTTTTGTTGTTTTTTTTCTTTTCTTGACTGAGAAGGTGAAGATAAAACTAGCTCCCTTGTGAGCTCTGAACATTTTTCAGTCTTATAAAAAACTGTCACGAATTGCATTTGATTAACTTTGCATGAACCTTATGCAACATTTTTCTTAGAGGAAAAATTTGACTCTTTTTTCCACGCTGTTAAAAAAAATCAACCACTTCAGTGTGGCAGAAGCTGCTTGTCAGATTATGAAGACACAGATAAAGTATTTGTCATCAACAACCACCCACAGTCTGTTAGCAGCCCAAAGCAGCATTGCTGACTCTGCTGGTGCCCCTGGTCAATATCCTACACACACTCACACACTCACACACACAAAAACACACACACACGCACACAACTATGTTAATTAAGACTGTGTTATGAATGTCATTATGAGAATTACACCAATGTAAGCTTATGAAGAATTACATAAATATTGTGTTGTCTCAAAGCCGTTTGACAGTATGAATGTTTAAATATAGCTTTGAAATGTCCTCTGATCATCTTTGATTCCTCTGGAATTATAATTCAAAGATACATGTGTGCAGTTGAGAATGTTAGTGGCACGTCCCGCTATGTTACACACTGGCTTAGGGTTCCACCTCGTAATAATGTCTCTCCTGTTCCTTTTGCCCACTGCCTTTTTACCAGTTTAGTAAATGTTTTGGTTGCTAAAACAGACTAATTAACTGGAAAAGACATGAGGAAAGATAAAAAAGAAGAGAGAGGGTGGTTAACTATTGGTAATGACAAAATCATATTGCACAAAATCTAACAATTAGCAAGCTAATGCAAAACATGAAATGACATTAAATGTGGTATGAAATACTTCCAAACTCTTTGAGCACTGTTTTATAAGTCACTTCATTCATATTTCATATGGGTTCACATATGGGTGGACCATGATCTGAAGTGAGATTTCAGGGTCTTTGCACCCAAAGACAGCATAAACAAACAGGAACCCAGTATTATTTCCCCCTTTTGTTTTCTCTCTCAGATCAAAGCTGAAGGATCTTGGAGAGCCAGAGAACGACTCCTGGCCTTTGGTCTACCGGGTATCCAGCGGAAGAGACTTGTTCATGCGTCTCCCTGCGTGCCACTCCCACACCACTATGAACTGTGAGCAGGACTTTGGAGATGGGGGCTTGGGAGTGACCCTCACACTGCGACTGCTCATGCATGGAAAGGTTGTTTTAATAAGCGCATGCTGATAATAATTCATATGCAAAGGATTTACCAAAACTTAAAAATAAGTTACTTGATATTTACAGCAGCATTGCGTTTTTGCTTATAGACTTAATGTAATCAGATTTTTCTCTTTTTGTTCAGGAGGTCGGCAGCATCATAGGAAAGGTGAGAATGCTACTTTTTTCCATCACTTCAAGGTTTCAGAAAGATATTCACTTTTGAAAAAGAATTCTTACATTTGATGTCTGTGTCTGATTACGCTCTGTCATTTTTACTGAATCACAGCCCGATCGTTATCGTGCCGTTCGTAGAATCCTTTATCTCTTTGCCTTGTTTTTGTTTAATAATCACCAAAACCCCTCCAACAATCATTTCATGTTATGAATATCTCCATCTGAAATATAATAGCCTTAAAGCATCCCTCTGAAGACCTCCTAACAACCCCCCATAAAGCAACACAGTAATCCATCAAACAAATCTAAGTGCACGACTGCAGGCCCCGTGTTGAAACCGAGCCCCAAAGACACATTGCTGTTGGCCCCTTGTGGGCACTTTCTAGTGTCTGGTTGGAAGGGTCTGTCGGGTGGGTGATCCTTCCGCATCAATACAATCAGGCCTAAAAGACATCAATGAGAGGAAAAAGAAAACCAAACGCGAACAACTGGGAGAGGCAGAAAAAGAACGACGTCACAACACTGTGGTGCGGTGAACTGCAGAAGCAGATAAATCTCGGAAAACAGCAGATTAAGGAAAGGGTGAGACAACTGGGTTGTGTACTGTGCACCACCGACAGGCACTTGAGCCGCAGCACTCTGGCTGATAACTTTCCCTCCGCCCTCACCGTCTCGTCGGCACTCACCGACACAATGCCAACAGCAGAGGCACAATACACCACAAATCACGCTTTTTCTGAGAACAATGAAAAAAAACTGGGTTGTCATGCTGAGAGATGACACTGCTGTTGATACTCATGTAAGAAAGTGGTTTTCAGCTTGGGCATGAGGGTGTGAATAGCCTGCGTGGACTTCAGCCAATGGTAGGCAGGACAAAAGAGAAGTCATCAAAAAACCCACTGAAGGATATCCCTCAGTGTTACAAATGTCAGAAAAATTATTGTTCACCATGGCAGGAAGTGCTCACCACATGCCTCATGCAGCCATTATGAATCCCCCACCTTTAATACATCCGATACGTCTTTGCAGAGTTTGTGGTGCGGACATTACCGAGATGCATTGCAGATTGAAACTCTAGAGGAATTTATTTGTGCTGAATTTCACAGTTTGAAATAGAAGGTCACCCGGAGGTGGAGGACGCTGAATGTTTCGGCTGGAGAGCATTCTGTTCTATTAACAATGTCCCTCATCTTTTTCTCTTTCAGAAAGGAGAGACTGTCAAACGAATACGAGAAGAGGTACAGAGTCTATCAGTAAAAACATTCACGCATTTTTCTTAAAACAAATTCTCCATTTACGAGCATGCATTCACACCCTGCATCATTGCTGTTTTGGGGTGTTTTTAGTCTTGTGAAATCACAAGTTGCAAGTGCCTTTGAATAAGTAGCTGTTACCACATGCCAAAATAAGCACCATTTGTTTGTGTTTTCTATATCAAGACATGAAACTACTACAGCTTTATTCAGTAGTTTCATCTCAAGAGAAAACATAATTCAATCTCAAGGAGCTCACTGTAGCCAGTCAGGTTTTCCAGCAGTTCCATGTATTAATAACAAAGCTCAGCTCTCCCTGCTTGCTTGAGTCTGACGAGCATACAGATCGGAACATTGTCCAAATTACCTTTTGGGCAATAACCGCACTTTTCAGTTGAAACCCTCTCTCTACTCTTCATTCCACTTCCTCAAAACACTCTCCTTTTTTCTTTGTCTGCCCCTCAATTTCCCCATTATGACTCTCAAGAGTGAAGCCGAAACCACTTGATTAACTCTTGGTATTAAAAAGTAATTAGCCTAACACTGATGGCGGCAAATTTGATTCTTTTACTGCTGAAAAGGTTTTATGTTGTGCTTTATGAGGCGGGAGGATAAACAGAAGGATAGCGAGGTCATGGAACAGTGGAGCTCTGTAGAGCTGCAGGTTAAAGCGCTCACCCGTGCTCTCCAACCAGCCACACATTCACCCATCCATCCATTTAGGCAGTTTTGGCCTTTGTTACATCTGCACCAGCCTCATCACTCCCTGCCCAATCTTTAAAGTCACTCAGGGAAGAATGATTCATTGAAATGGCAGCGGGAAAAAAGTCCCAGCTCTGCTCATGTGTCTTTAACAGGATGTATGAGACAACAAAATGGGAAGACACGAGGGGGTGCAGATTTATTGTCTAGGGATGAAACAGCTTATCAGTCTTACCTATCTGTTATCCGTAACTTGTTAGTTTGGCTAGGTGCTACCTTACTAATGTGGGATATTTACCATTTTTCAATGTGTAAATGTCCCATTAGCATCCCTGTTAAGGCCCATCAGACCAGGGGTTAAACATCAGTTAAAAGCGAGAAAAGATATCCTGTTAACTTCACTTAAAGAACTCCAGGATCATTTAGACCGGGATTAAAGGAAATTATAACTTCAAAGCAATGAAAGAGCAAATATAAAAAAAAAAAATTAAAAAAATTAATGAGGTTTCAGGAATGTCAGCTATTCAGGAGGCCTCTTCGACAGGGAGAAATTAACCTAAAGGTTATTTTGTTTTGCATAGTTTTGTTTTGTCTGGGAGACGCAAAGTCTTGCCAAAATGCTTTAGTTTGGCCTTTATGCATCCCAAAATATGTGTGAATCAGAGCTTTCCTGAGGTCACGGATGATTCACTTGACCTAGCTTGATTTTGCCGGCCCACCACCTACTCTGTTAGTATCAGCTTCAAATTGGACCATTGACATAGTGTTAAATAGCAATGGAATTCCCCAGTTTGTTAAAATATTACAGTGTAGCTCATGCTAAAAATACCTCTGTTAACCATCCTACAGAGCAGTGCACGTGTCAACATCTCAGAGGGCTCCTGTCCAGAGAGGATCATCACCATCACCGGCTCCACAGACAGCGTCTTCAGAGCTTTCACCATGATCACCTACAAACTGGAGGAGGTAAATGTAATGCATGGAACGCCATTGAAATGTGATGACTTACAGTGAATATAATCAATAGATCAACACTGAGGGGTTTCTTTCAGATGAAAACAATCAAGAGATGTTTGCTGTGCACTAATGAAAGTCGTCAAAGTCTTAATGGGTCTAAGATATCTTGTTTATGAAATATGGCATTGTGCAAAAAAGCCATTTAACCACATTATTACAAGATGCCATCTCCAGAGCTTTGCCTCAGCAAATGGCTCAAAATGCTTTTATCTCTATCGATTTCACTCCGGAGTGAGGCGGTGGAAGGAAAAGAAAATGTGGCATTGCATGGCACTAGAGGTGCTTAAAGACTGTTACATGCTCTAATCTTTGAGGTGCATAATTCTAGCTGCAGATGCAAGATATTTTGGTTTTTGAAGAACAACATTGTATGTGCCATACATACAGATTATACTATGATTTTTTTATGATTCTCATTTGAAATTGCAGGAATGATTCATAACGATTTGAATTCAGAAAAGTGCAAGTGTTACTAATTTGTAGCTGCTAATGAGAAAAGACGTGTAAACATCTCATCTGAGTCATGGATGGCAGTTTCCTCATGCTACTGATTCCCCTGGAGACTGTCCATCACATCGCTAATTAGTACGGTTCAATTTTCATTCAGATTTAGCATCACGGCAGACGCTGAAAGCAAACCTGCTTGGGTTGAAAGCTCTCAGTAAACACACACTGGTTGTGGAAGCAAAGTGCAGTTTTCATTAAAGATCTTTCACACTCACCTCTTCTCAACCCAGCAACTCCTGAGTTTCCATGGTAACATGTTGGCTGACCCGCCGTGTGCTGCTTTCACCGTATAGTTGACTTATCGAATGTCTGACACCTTCAGTTAAAAACAGAGGAGCATAATCAGATTTTTTCCAGTTGAGTGTTAAACCTGCTATTTATTTTTGTCTCTATAGTTTATGATTACAGTGGCACAAGCTTGCTTATTTATTGTATTTGGCAGTGGATCAGTTATTGTTTGGATAATCTTTTTCCCAACTGTCGCTTACTCATGCAAGTGAAATCTCATAATCAGAAATATTGTTCTACTAACAGAATACATGCTCTTTGCTGTTTTGAATGCTTATTTCTGTGTGAAAGTCAAAATGAGCCCCTGACCCACCGATAATGCTAAAAGCTTTTGGGATATTAGCTTAAGAACTTGAGAATGTGTGAGGTGTGCTTGAGTAACCGTCTATCTTATTCCCATCAGGTTGCTTTGAGAACCTCTTTTCAACACCAGAAGGCATAGGAAGGCTCACAGCTGTTAAGATGTAGTTTGTATTTTTAGATCAAATCAAAAATACAATGCCCAAAATCTTGCATTTATACAGATGAACTATGTGCTCCTCTTCTAATGAGATGAGACGTCAAGAGAGGCTGATCCGGCTCACTAAATATAGATACTGAGCAGAGGCACAAGAGGCTCATCAAAAAAAAGCTTTTAAATCTAAAATTCACAGTTATTGGAAATGTCATTCATTTTCTTTTATATGCCAAAGTCTCTTGAGGCTACCACAGCACCCCCCAAAGCAAATTCTGCTAATTTTACTGCAGATGGGCCTCTGAATCAAACCCATAAAAAAAAAAACAAGCAGAGTGTTCCACATTCTGTCACACCTTGGCTCTTGGTGTGACAGAATGTGCAGCATATTTACATTTCAAAGGTACACAGACAGACACTGTTTATTTATTTAAAGCCCACACTCCACCCAGATGTGGCAGATGCATGTACCAGCACTATAGAAGCATCCACCTCATTCTTGGCCTTCCTATCTACACTCCAAGTTGTAGTTTGTGGGAGTTGTACTTATTGTCTTATTAAAGTCTTGTCAAACGATACTCTGTTTTAAAGGTTGTCCCGATGTCTATTTTCTGTTTTGGGTTGAAGTTTGTTCAGTCAAAGTAACTTCTATTCAACAACCTTTAGCTGTTAGGTGATTCATGTATACTCAGAACTGAGATACACAGAAACCTTTTTTTTTAAAGATGTTAACATGGTGGAATGTTAGCGGTCTAACTTCCAAATTTGTTTTAGATATTTTGGGAGTTTTTGTAAAGAATGTGTGAAAAGAGCTCCAAATGAATGAGGGATAATATTCCTCGCATTCCTTTTTATCTGATGCTTTCCATAACTTTATCAGTCAGATAAAGCTATTCACTTAAGTCCACTTGTGAACAGAAATTTAGTCACACTATATATCCACAGATAAGCCACTAATTTAACCACCTCTATTAAAACCCCATGAGCCTAAAAGATCAAAATAATGTGTGAATGACTGGTTGGATGAGACTGTAACTAATCCTGTGACATTCAAGGGAAAACCCTGACAACCCCATCCCCACCGTAAGATGTGCTGGCAGCATTAAGCTGTGGAAATTCATATTTTTTGTCAGGATCTTCAACATAGATCAGAACTGAAGATGAGGTGGTTTAAAATGCAGGCTCATGTAACAGTTATAGTTTTAGAGCTGCATTTTAAAATATTTTCAGGGTTTGATGTAATATTTAACCCTTTCCAGTTGAAAAAACCATATTTATTATCCCAATAAACGACTACCCATATCAATATCCTATGAGTTCTGCCCCTGCCAGGGGCATCAGAAATATGACAATTATATGTCATTGTAGAAATCATGCTCAAGTCTCTATGCCATGAGCTGTTTTCAAGACAACAATGCAAGTGTCACCTCTGTGAAAGACGTTTGGCTGGTTCTCTCAATGACGTGTATGCACAGCCCACTGTCACTTCCTTTAATTATCCAATTACAACACTTACCTTTAGCTAAAGATCAAACTTAAATTGTCAACACCAATGATGGCATTATTATAATTAAAATGCAGTCCCTCTCACAACCTTTGTTATAATTTTAGGCCATGGCTTAGCATACCACCAAGGGACTCATATCAAGGAGGACCTGTCCTATTAATAAGCATAAATATGTTGACATGCTGGTGCACCAGCTCATTGTGATGCAGCAGGATCGGGGTGATTTTAACTTATTTAGATTTTTAAAATGTTTTAAATACTTTTTTATATTAAATTAAATGAGTGGCTTTTTAAAAACAGAGCTTGTGTTGGTATTATATTATATGGTAATAAGCGGTTCAGAAAATGGATAGAATATTATATGATATGATACATTTACCTGTGTCCTTCACCACATTTGTTTTCGTTTAACTTCCCTAAGGACCTGACTAGTCTGGTGGCCAACGGCGCCATCAGCTCTAAGCCACCAGTCACTCTGCGGTTGGTCATTCCAGCCAGCCAGTGTGGCTCACTCATTGGGAAGGGCGGTGCAAAAATAAAGGAGATCAGAGAGGTGAGAAGCCAAGCACAAGTGGAAATATGACATGGTCAAATTTACTTCAGGAGATGTGAGTTGGAGTTATAGTTGTATTATGAATTGTATGTGTATATAAAAAAAGAGTTTCTACTTTTTGGTATGTTGCTAAATTAAAGTATTAAATTTAATCCACAAGAGAGTCCAAACAGATGGTGATCAGGTTTGGCTGACTCAGCAAAATGACGTAACCAAGTCTTTAGGTATGCAACATTGTCTATGGTTTAATTGCCGTATGATATAAAAGAAACTCAAATGACTTTGAAACAGTGCTCCTGAAATAGACTTTTTTTCCCCAGATATTTGTACTTTATGTTGTAGACTGATTGACATAATGGCCGCAGGTCAGTAGGATCGTGATGAATAAAAAGGATCCATGGACAAGTGTAAAAGATCACTTAAAAGTTCACAAAGTATCTTCTCAGATTTAAACAAGCAAATGTAAATAAAAGATGTATCATTTAACACGGGACACTGTGATTCAGTAGTGACGAAACTGAAGGGAAAATCTCCTGACTACATTTAGTCCCAGTTGAAATGCTGGGATTACATTTTTCAGATGTGTTGCCAAAGACATCTGACCCTGTAGGTTTAACTCTGTGTCAATCTACAAATAGACTCTCCTCCATTGGAACCTGGACCTCCCTCTTTAATATGAACCAGGTGATTTTTAGTGTTTGGACTGGTTTTGTTATCCAGGTCATGCACCATCTTTGTCTCATTCATAGATTCGGTTTGTTCCGTTCCTCAGGAAAAACGCATTAAACAATTTGTCGTTGATAAATTTGTTATTTGCGTGCTAGTGGCGACCTTCAGAGATATTCTGATACACAACCACCCATAGATGCAAATGTTAAAAAAATAAATGATAACAAAACAGCTGGTCCAACATAAAAAAAAAATCTCAAAGGATTTTAATGTTATTGTGTTGTGTATTTTAAAATATATATAATATTCATTTGTTTTCTCTTTATACTTGACTTCAGGGTTGACTGGTGTGATATTTTTTAAAAAGATGACTTGAAAATATTTTTTGTAAAAATCTTTTTTTTCGAATTTGAAAAGTCACTGTCCCAAACGTAGTACTACGTTTGGTCTCCTTCAGTTTGGGTGGGAAAATATTAGGTCAGCAAACCCAGTGGAGTTATGTGAACAACCTGTGGTAGTGTAATCACAACTTTCCTTATCCCTTGAATCAAGCTAATCCTTTTTTAAACCCCTATCATTTGCAGAGCACCGGAGCTCAGATACAGGTGGCGGGGGATTTGCTGCCCAACTCCACTGAGCGAGGGGTGACGATATCTGGCAATCAGGACTCTGTAATCCAGTGTGTCAAGCTCATCTGCACAGTAATCCTGGAGGTAGGAAGTATAATGTTGCTTTCTTTATGCTATGCATTCACACCTAGCTGATGTTTGCTAAAAATGCCATCAAAATCCATCTCAGCATGTTTATGTTTATTTGATTTCAGCAGAAGTGAATGTGTATATGATCCAGAAGGCTTCTGTTTCCTTTCTTATATTGTAATCCCCAAATGTGTTGCCTGGTAGCTGGCTATAATCAGAGCGAGTTCTGAGGTCCTCTTGTAGGTCTCATAAAAATACAGAGCACCTATCCTCTTTATTGTTTGGACCTTCTGTTTCGGAAACAAGAAATCAAATGGAGGGGAGAGGTGTTTGTGGTGCCACTCTGAGGTCAGGGCTGAGTGTTTCTAAAGAAGACACAAAGATGCTCGCAGAAAACAAAGTGGCCTGCAGCAATATCTGTCCACCTTTAGACAACAGCCCTCTTGAGAAAAATCTAGAAGAGAAAAAAACAACCCCAAGTGCAGTTTTTCATTGTGTGTTAATGGAAGAGCACAAGTGCTATTTTGTTTTAGCGCTGCAGCTGGACCTGACTGACTAATTGGTGGTTTGCTTCAGTGTTTTCCAGGGCTTACTTCAAAGGCTTGCAAGTATCATTAGGATTCTGTACCAGCGGCATCTTGCTTTCTACTCAGAGATTTAAATTATGCAAAGTTATACAAAGAATTTGCTGGGACTGCTGCAAGTTTTAATGCCAAAACAGCACCACCATCTTTACAGCAACTATACAGCGTCATGTCCATCAAGCAATTGTTTTTTTTTCTAATTGTTGTTTAAAGAATTTTATTTGCAACCGTCAATTGTCAGTTGATGGTTGATTCCACCACAGGCAAACACATACGCTGAGTGTGCTGCATACCAAAAGCTCATGGCGATCATCCACAAATAGCACAAACTATACTTATTCAATTATTCAGTGAATGACCAACATTATCAAAGGAAAATCCAGGCTTATCATTATGCAATCCTCACTGTCATAGTGCCTCAATGTTCAAATGAGCGTTGCACAAGTTGCATTTTTTTGGAGCCTGGTTAAAATTTTATTGTAAAATATGATGACTTAACATGTTTTTAACTCCTTAGTCTCCACCAAAAGGAGCCACGATCCCCTATCGGCCAAGCCCCTCACCAGCTGCTCTCCTCATTGCAGGGAATCAGGTGAGAAAATTAGATTTTCCTGCTCACATGAGGAAGCTAATCAATCAGACATTTGTCCGCAAAATGGATACAGGAGCTCATTAGGGTGGGTGATTATATCGAATCGATGTCAAATGACTGGATGCGTGTTGAAGATCTTTTTCATTTGAGGTGAGGAAATACACTAAGTCTTGGATGGAATAGAATGATGGCTCATGATCAGTAAAAGTGTTCACTGCCAACTTGTTAAAGAAAACTGTATCATTCAAATCCATCCTAATTTGAGCTTTGCCCCCTCATGGGTCACAGTGGGCTGCGAAAAATAGACTGTTTTAAATACCCTGCCACTGTCTGTTTGAGGGTTACACAGCCTATGTCCTTCTCACCACAAAGTACCTGTTACTGCTTTTGACTTTTTCCATTTTCCATCCTTGTCCTGCAGAATGACACATTTCCTTTGGCCACGTGTATTTATCATAGAGTGGAGTATCCCAGTGGCATACTTTCCTCAACGTAAAAACAAGCTTTGACTGCTTGGTGTAAATAGTGCCAGTGTCACACTGTGGAAAAAGAGCTTCATTGCCTCTTGTGGCAGTTTTTGCAAAGATTACTTACATTTACTCTGCAACATCAACAGAGAAGATAAAACTATGCATGACGTATGCCCCATGCTCTATAAATATCTCAGAACAAAAACATATCCAATATAGTCTGTTTTGTGTCGACAAGCAAAATAAATGATAATTCGAAAATGTTTAGGCCAAGTGTGTAACAACGATGATGACATCAGTAACAAATTAAATCTGCACTAAACCAGCTGCACAACATGAACTAACAGATTGTTGGTTATAATCCTAAACTGACATACTGTCTGTGGTGATTTATTTTATTTTTTTTAAGTTTCAGTTCTAAGGTAATCATGATTTTTTTATATCCTCATGTCCCATAAAAAGCTGAAGAATAAACAAAGCAAACTGGTCAATTCCTTTGTGAAACATCGATATCTGACTCCATATCTAACATTTTTGTAAACTAAAGTAAGCTAGCATTAGTGGTATAGATGTTTTGAACTCTGTTATGGACTCTCCAAACCACTACAGCGAGGATTCTCAAATATTCTACAAAGGTCTCATCATTTTTTGAAGGACCCTTGTAGCATACAAAGAAATCAGTCAGAAGAACTGCGTTTATCACATTATAAGTACCTTGATTATGTATGTTGGGTATTTTATTATTTCTGCCATATTTCAATTGCATTTACCATTTTCATTTTCAAAAGGTTACACATAATCATCTGTTTAATTTGTAATATACTTACTTTTGTAGATCATGTGATGGCTTTTTGTTACCATTTTTGATATTCTTTTATACTTAATGCTCTCATGATGAGAAATAATGTGTAAAGCCATTTTAAATGTTTTAATCTTATTCACATCATTTATAATTTGATACCTACTTTAAATGACTCAAATCAACTCACATTAGAATAGACCAAGGTATAGTGTGACTATGTATTCATGCTTTCATGACAAATAGTGAACTTAGAATTGAAATAACATATTCACAGTTTTCTGTGATTCCCGGGAGAACCACAGCATGGATAAAAAGCTTAGGATACGGTGGATTACATTTTGAACATGACCTACATGGAATGATACCGCTTCTGGACACTGTTTGCATGACGTTTTGTCGAAGTTCACGTTCCTCATTGGATTCCTTACTAACCCCGACAAGACTCCTGTCGGGGCTCCAGAGTGGGGGATTGAGAGATTTTTGTGTGTGCATGAGCACGGGGTTGAGTATTATAGGTGCTGCTGTTTGAGAAGGGGCAGATATTCACCCTCCCATGGAGCGAGTTACAAGATTAGCAAGTGTGACTGGAGACCTGCCGTCTCCTCTGGCCTCAGCAGCAGCCAGATATTCTGCATAGCTGTCAGCAGTCCTGACAGTGTTTGTGCTGTTTCAGACTCTGGTCAATTTATGGAAAGGATTTGTGTTTTTGTTATTCCTCATAATAAGCAATGAAATCAGACCCGAGGCAAAATCTTGGTCACGGTGAGTTGACTTTGATAAAGACTCCACAGTGATAAGGATATATAAATCCTCAGGAGAGGGAAATGTTGTGTTGGTGAATCATAGCTTTTTGGATGTGTGAAAGTGCCAGAAATTCAGATTCATAAGACCATCTCAGACCAGATTTCATCTTTAGTCACACCCTAAAACAAGCTGAAAATTGGAAGTGTTTACTTAAGATTTATGAGTGCTTATATCAATTTTCACCATCGACAGTTGGATGGCAAGAAAGTAAGCACAGTAATATTCACTCGTATTTTAGAGATATCATCCAACTGCCAATATATTTGGCAACATGTTTTCCATTTGTTCTTACTTTATGCATTTCTATGTGTATACAGGTTTTTGAGGCATCAGAATTTGCACCCCACCCTATGTACTCAGTCACCCAAGGGGGCCTGGACCTCCAGCAGGTAAGCAGACAATTATTCATGGGAAATATCCTGCCACCTATGAATTAAAGATTGTCTGTAGGAGCTTGTTTTAAACACTGGACTTTGAACTCCCACGTGGAGCGCAGGAATGAGTGCGGGAGCTGTGAGGCTGTAAGTGGTGAGTGAGCGCATGGCTGTGCAGAATGTGCAGTGTTACGCAGTCCATCATACGGTATGAGGCATTAAAAACAACAGCTGAGAGTAAGCTGCAGCTATTGTTCTAGCCTATCATAAGAGCTATAAACCGTCCTGAAACTCAATACCCTCACACACCACCTCCAAAACCCCGCTGTCTCTTTTTCAGTCCTGCCTACCTCAGCACCGGAAACACTCCGACTTTAGGAATATTCCTCCCATGACAGCAATAGCAGCTCCTGTCATAATATCAGAATAGAGACAATAGACTCTAACTGTGTGTAATGAAATAGAAAGACTTCACAAATGAGATAATTCACGCTTTAAATGGCAGGATCGTTGCAATGAATTTCCACGTGTTGCTTCGCCTCCTAATAAAAGCACAGCTCAGATGTATCAATGCACTGCAAGAACGACCCCCTCTCTCTAGTTTATGACCATATAGGATGGACCAACAATACATGCCAGACTGCTGGCGTCAGATAGAATTGAGTTAAGCTAAGTGCTGTCTGCTGGGGCCGTAACTGTAAAAAGGGATGGCCTCACACACACCAGCCTAAATAATGGATGGATGGATGGATGGATGGATGGATGGATGGATGGATGGATGGATGGATGGATGGATGGATGGATGGATGGATGGATGGATGGATGGATGGATAGATAGATAGATAGATAGATAGATAGATAGATAGATAGATAGAT